AGGCTGTTCTTGAACTCTTGGACTCAAGCAATCTGCCTGCCTTGGCCTCCCATGCTGGGATTACAGGCATGAGCCATTGCACCCGGTCCTGTAATAAAGTTTTACTGCAACACAGCCGTGCTCCCTCACTTGTTCATATATTGTGTATGGTTGTTTACAATAGTAGAGTTGGGTAGCCACAAAGATGGTATAGCCTACAAAGCCTAAAATATTTACTATTTGGCCCTTTAAGTTAAAACTTTGCCAACTCCTGATCTAATGCATATAGAAATTTGGCATTTGCAAAGATCACTACATATATTCTCTCAGTTGAGTTGCATAAGAGTCTGTTGAGACACACTAGGCAGTGACTATTAGTCCCATTTTCGAGATGAAAAAACTGAGGCTCAAGGTAGCTGTGACTTACATCAGGCCATAGAGTGCTGGAAAGAGAACCTGCCCCTGATTCCAAAGCCAGTGCTCTTTCTACTGCTCTGTGCTTCCTTGGGAAGGTTTTGCATATTTCCCAAGGAGAAAGTCAGTTGGCAAAGATCGATCCACACCATCTGGTCTAGTCTCCCCTGGGATTGGCTGCACGTGGGAGAAGGCTGGCTGTGGGTTTAGCAACATCTGGGCAGCTCAGAACCATGAAAAATGACCAAGCTGTGGCCAGCTGAGAACTTCTGTGTTTAACAGTTGCCACTCTTACTAAATGGCAGTCATCACGAGAAGAAAGACCATGTTTGTTCACTGCTGCGTCTTCGAGTCCAGCATGCTGCAGGTGCTCACAAAATGTTTACTGAATACACTGAGTTAATTGCAGTCCTCACAATTATTAAATCCTCATCCTCTCTGGCTGGCACCTTGTTAAAAGACTCACCTTTTGGCTGGGTGTGGTGGCTCATGCCTGTAATCTCAGCACTTTGGAAGGCCAAGGTGAGCAGATCACCTGAGGTCAGAAGTATGAGACCAGCCTAGCCAACATGATGAAACCCCATCTCTACTAAAAACACAAAAATTACTGGGTGTGGTGGTGGCTGCCTGTAATCCCAGCTACTCAGGCGGGTAAGGCAGGAGAACTGCTTGAACCTGGGAGGCAGAGGTTGCAGTGAGCCAAGATTGCGCCAACCTGGGCAACAGAGCAAGACTCTGTCTCAAAAGAAAAAAAAAAAAGAATCACCTTTTCTCCAGGGAGGGGTCCCTGTTCTGGGCACCCACCCCCCTGCCACATGTATAATTACCCGTACACCAGCACACCTATAATTACCCACATACCTGGCAGATGCCGTTTATTTTTCTCTGCTCCAAACTGTAAGTATTGCCAAGTCCTGTTACATTAGCTTGACTCCACGCTCTCTTCTCCAGCCCTATGGCACTGTCTTGTTCAGATCCTTCATTATCTGAAGCCTGAGTTGTTTGCCCACCTCCTCACTGGCTTTCTGCCTCCACCCTCCGCCTTTCCAGACCAATGGTTTCCAGACCATTCTCTGTATTGTGCAAATCCTGGCAAATCATTCCTCTTAACTCTCCGTTGGTACCCCTTGCACAGTGGATGCAGGCCCACCGTGACCCAGCCCAGCCTACCTTTCCAGCTCCATCTCCCTTCTCTCCCACTCCCACCCAGGAGCCAGCCACCCTGAGCTACCTGTAGTTCTCTACCAGTGCTGTGCCTTCTCTCATCACTTCCATTCACACATGCTCTGCTCCCTGCCTGGGAAGCCCCACTGGCTGCACTCCAGCAGGTCTTCCAGACTGAGTTCGAGCATCACTTCTCTGGGTAGCTTTTCTTAAGGCTTTCCAAGATAGAGGACTCTTGTCTTTGTGTCAATCCTGTGATTATAGCACTTGTACTACTGTATTGTATTAAGTGTTGTTTTTCCATTCCTGGGCCTCCCACTGCCAGCCAAGAGCACTCTGAGGGCAGGAGCTATCTGGCCATCCTGACAGGACCTTCACTCAGCACAGGGGCTACCCCAAAGCACTGGCATCAGGATCCAGTGAATCCTTGCAGCTCTCCATTTCCTCGAACCGCTGAGCTCTTTCACCACTAGGTGGGTGCAGGGGATGGTGGAGCCATTCTCGGCAGCCTCCCGGAGCTCAGAAAGCAAAGAGCTTGTAGTGACTCCTGTTACTGTTTTTCCCTGCCTGGTATCTTTTTCTTTCTACAAGTGCACCTTCCTAATCTCTGGGGCTCACAACCACAAGGCCCCACCCCACCCCAGGGGACTGAGATGGGCAAGGCCCATTCAGGGCCCTTCGGGGGGACAGATATGGCTGTGGGGGAAATGACTGTGGAGGATGTGCTCATTTGCTTGTTTTTAGGGTGATATGAACCTCGGGCTGCTGGTGGCCATCTATGAGAGTGGATCTGAATTCCAACTCCATCATTTTTGGCTGGGTGACCTTGGACAAATTGCTTGACAGTTTACAGTTTTCCTTTGCATTTCCTGTTGTATAACCTGCAAAATGGGAATGACGGAGTATCCACCTCACGTTGTGGGAACAATTGAGTTAACATACATGAAGTGCTTAGAGCAGTGCCTGGCACAAAGAGAGTGGCCAGTAAGTACTTGTTGCTTTGATTATATCAATATGTGGGGAGATCTCATCTAAGGACAAGGTGAGAGACACTTTTTGGATCAACTGAACCCGAGGCTTTCAATCTGTTACACTTAACAGTTCCACAAATCAATTAACTTCATCTCTTTTTTTTTTGAGATGGAGTCTCACTCTGTTGCCCAGGTTGGAGTACATGATCACTGCAACATCCTCCTGCGTTCAAGTGATACTCCTGCCTCAGCCTCCCGAGTAGCAGGGACTACAGGTGTGTGCCACCATGCCTGGCGAATTTTTGTATTTTTAGCACAGACAGGGTTTCACTATGTCGGCCAGCCTGGTCTTAAAGTGCTGGGATTACAGGCATGAGCCACTGTGCCCAACCTTAACATCATCTTCTTCTTCTTTTTTTTTTTTTTTTTGAGATGGAGTCTTGCTCTGTTGGCCAGGCTGGAGGGCAGTGGCATGATCTCGGCTCACTGCAACTTCCGCCTCCTAACTTCAAGCAATTCTTCTGCCTCAGCCTCCCGAGTAGCTGGGACTACAGGCGCATGCCACCACACCTGGCTAATTTTTGTATTTTTAGTAGAGACGGTTTCACCATGTTGGCCAGGCTGGTCTCAAACTCCTGACCTCAGATGATCCACCCGCCTTGACCTCTCAAAGTGCTGGGATTATAGGCATGGGACACCATGCCTAGCCAACTTCTTTTTTTAAAGCAAGTTTGAACTGGGACTATGTAAGTTACAACCCAGAAGATCCTAACACTGGTATGTGTAGTGGGAACCCAGGAGAAAGAATCTAGTGGGCACTCTCATCTTGCTGTTTGAGTTTGGCCAGGGCTTTACTTCTCAAGCTTCAGTTTATGTCTGATGGGTGGATAATACCTGCCCTGCTTCCCTCTTGTAGCTGCTGTGAGGATCTATGTGTATAACAGATGTGCCTCAAAAACTGTTAAATGCTAAAAACCAAAACTCACCTATGACTCCTTACGATATATCAAAGAAAATCCTACTCATTAGCTTGGCTTGGGCAGAGCCTTAGCCCATGTGGACCCAAGCTACCTTTTAAAAAAAAAAATAGAGACAGGGTCTCACTCTGTTACCCGGGCTGGAGTGTAATGGTGTGATCATAGCTCGGTGTAACCTGGAACTCCTGGGCTCAAGTGATGGAACCTACCTTTCTGGCTTTCTTTCTGACTTACGCAATCCTCTCCCATATGCAAACCCTCTGCTGAGGCTTCAATGGATTTTCCACCACTTCCCAATCTCACTTTTGTGTGTTTGCTCATTTTACATCCTCCACATGAAATGACTTTTGGCTCATCTCTATGTATAAACAAAATTCAGGCTGGGCAGTGGCTCACGCCTGTAATCCTAGCACTTTGGGAGGCTAAGGTGGGTGGGTCACCTGAGGTCAGGAGTTCGAGACCAGCCTGGCCAACAAGATGAAACCCCTTCTCTACTAAAAATACAAAAATTAGTCAGGTGTGGTGGTGTGAGCCTGTAATCCCAGCTACTTGGGAGGCTGAGGCAGGAGAATTGCTTGAACCCAAGAAGCAGAGGTTGCACTGAGCTGAGATCTTGCCACTGTGCTCCAGCCCGGGCGACAGAGTGAGACTTTGTCTGGAAAAAAACAAAACAAGGCTGGGTGAGGTGGCTCACGCCTATAATCCCAGCACTTTGGGAAGCTGAAGTGGGCGGATCAGCTGAGGTCAGGAGTTCGAGATCAGCCTGGCCAACATGGTAAAACTCTGTCTCTATTAAATATATAAAAATTAGCTGGGCGTGGTAGCTCATGTCTGTAATCCCAGCTACTCAGGAGGCTGAGGCATGAGAATTGCTGGAACGCAGGAGGTGGAGGAGTGAGCTGAGATCATACCACTGCACTCCAGTCTGGGCGACAGTGAGACTCAGTCTCAAACAAAACAAAACAAAACAACAAAAAAACCCCACAAAACAAAACAAAATTCATCCTTCAAAGGTCCAGTCCAATGAAGCCCTCTCCATGAGGAATTTTCTGATCCTTCCCCAAGACTGCTTCCCTCACACACATACACATGCACACAGAGAGAAGCCAGATGTGCCTTCTGTTTCCTGTGAACTTCAGCACTCCTTTTATTATTGGGTCCAGGTTTAAATATTTCTTTGGTTAGGTATGAGTCTCCTGGAGGGCAGGGACCAGATATCTAACTGTATTCTCTGTTGCACCACGCAGCAGGGATTTAGGGATTCTGAGAATTAGCTATAATCAACGTGGGCCAGAGGAGATAAGAACACATGTGCATCACCTCCAGAGCAAACAGAATTTTTTTCTCCTTTAGCTTCCACCCCTGCTGGAGGCAGGTATATGGACATAATAATAAAACCTGCATTACTCAGATACGCTAAGCCAAGTGGATGTCTACAGTTGGTGAAATAGCATTTGGAGGAGCAAAAAGACGGCTGACACCTGGAAAAACTCACCCAAACCAGCATTTGCAGGAATCACCCAGTCTCCTGGCTTCAGCCCGGTCACACTGCTGCCCACCGCTACCACCTGGGCAACACCTTCGTTCCCTCCAACAGCAGGCAGTTCAGGAAGGAGGCCGTAGTTTCCTGAGGGAGAAGAGCATGAAAAGGTCAACCAGTGATGTCTGGGCAGTGAAAGAACATGGACTTGAGTCCAGGCCATCCTATGCCTGATCTGGGATCTGCTTTGGACTGTCGGCATAACCAACCTCTGAGCCTTAGCTTGCTTGTCTGTATAGGGGGGCAATATTCTTTGGTGTTCATGGTTATTATGAAGATCAGGTAACACACAAAATGAGATCAGCATGTCGCCGGCACTTCACAATGCTTGCTTTACTCCCCACTGCCATCGTCTCAAAAAAGCCTCACATTCCAGAAAAGGGAGGCCAGACAGGGCTGACACAGCCTGCAGACGGCTCATCTGGAGAACAGCTGCGGCTAATCACAGGCATTTCACACCCACACCTGAGGAGGAATGAAAACGAGGTGGCAGCTGAGCAAAAAAGCCAATTAACATAAGCCACAGAAACCAAGGTTACCTTGGATCATATTTATGTCAGATGGATTGATAGGGGCCGCCAGCATCTTCACGAGGACGTCTGATCCTCCCACAGCAGCTAGCTCCAGGTTCTTCAGTCTAAGCACAAAGCCAAAGGGAGATGTTCATGTCACCCAGGCTAGATTGGGCGTTTCGCTCCAATCATCTCCCCAAAGTAGGTCAGGCAAGATTTCTGAGCTGCCACGTGTGCCCAGGAATAACGGTTCTGTTATAAAAGAGAGGTGCCATAAGAAATCAACACAGGAGGCCGGGTATGGTGGCTCATGCCTGTAATCCCAGCACTTTGAGAGGCCGAGACAGGTGGATCTGAGGTCAGGTGTTCGAGACCAGCCTGGCCAACATGGCGAAACCCCATCTCTACTAAAATACAAAAATTAGCCAGGAATGGTGGTGGGCACCAGTAATCCCAGCTACTTGGGAGGCTGAGGCAGGAGAATCACTTGAACGTGGGAGGCAGAGGTTGTAGTGAGCTGAGTTTGCATCACTGCACTCCAGTGTGGGGGACAAAACAAGACTTCATCTCAAAAAAAAAAAAAAAAAATCAACACAGGATACAGGTTGACTCTCATTAATTGAAAGTGGAAATTCACAGTGGTCTTTCAACCCCATGGCCCATTCTGGGACAGGAAACTTCTGCTGGCCTACACACGCCGTGTTTCCCCAAACTTGCTTGGTTATAAGAATTACCTGGTGTTTTTATGAATATAAATTATCAGGTCCATCTCTGATCTACTGAGCCAGAATCTCCAGATGAGGACACCCCCAAGTAGTTCTTACCAACGGAGTATCTGGGAAATCCCAGGCTAGCTGACGTGTCCTCCACCTGTTTGATTTTATTCTTGGTCCTAACATATATAGGGGAGAGGAGATATTTCTGTTAGTTGCAGAGTGTGGGGGTAATGGAGAGATGGCCTACATAGTTCACAAAGAACTCCCTGGGTGGCTGTGATTCACTCTGAGTGATGCCCCTTCTGGAGGAGGATTCTTGTCTTGCAGAAACAACGCTGGGTGGAGGGGTGAGGGTCCAGGGTGTAAAGCTCCACCGTGAGATGCCTGGGTCACCATGGGTAAGTTTCTTTTCTGCTCTAGACCTCTGGTTCTCCATTTGTAAAACAAGTTGGGGTGGTGTTTTGGACTTGATCCCCTCTGGGAGCCTCTTTTATGTTAAGTGTGTGGTAAGCCCCTCTGCTCATGGTGGGCCTTGGACACCAACCATATTTATCCCACCGAAACTTTGCTTAATGAGTAAAACCTGCAAGAAGGCTTTTGTGGGAGGCCAAGTGACAATGCCCTTCTGTTACTTTTGTTATTTCCAAAAAACTTTTAAAAAAAGGAGATCTGCCAACCAGATAGGGCTGGTCAGTGTACTAGACCCATGGGGCCTGTGACTTTTTATCACCAGAGACTGCTTTCTTTCTTTCTCCACACCCCTAAGATTTCATGACCCTCTGCCCAAATGCATTTATTAATAATTCATTTTTATGGCCGGGCACGGTGGCTCAAGCCTGTAATCCCAGCACTTTGGGAGGCCGAGGCGGGTGGATCACGAGGTCAAGAGATCGAGACCATCCTGGTCAACATGGTGAAACCCCGTCTCTACTAAAAATACAAAAAATTAGCTGGGCATGGTGGCGCGTGCCTGTAATCCCAGCTACTCAGGAGGCTGAGGCAGGAGAACTGCCTGAACCCAGGAGACGGAGGTTGCGATGAGCCGAGATCGCGCCATTGCACTCCAGCCTGGGTAATAAGAGCGAAACTCCGTCTCAAAAAAAAAAAATAAATAATAATAATAATTCATTTTTACTTACCCAAGACACATGTAACTGCCAACAAGAGGTTCTTAGCATTAGGCAACACTATCATCAAACTAAGCTGATGTAATTCCACCTACTTCCTGCAGAAATCCAATCTTTTAATTATACCGGACGCTTTATCTTGCAGTAAAAGTGTGATTTTCAATAAATGTTTTGTAATAGCCAGGCGTGGTGGCTCATGCCTGTAATCTCAGCATTTTGGGAGGCTGACGCAGGTGGATCATGAGGTTAGGAGGTCGAGACTAGCCTGGCCAACATAGTGAAACCCCATCTTTACTGAAAATACAAAACTTAGCTAGGTGTGGTGGCATGTGCCTGTAGTCCCAGCTACTCAGGAGGCTGAGGCAGAAGAATCACTTGAACTTGGGAGGTGGAGGTGGCAGTGAGCTGAGATTGTGCCACTGCACTCTAGCCTGGGTGACAGAGTAAGAGTCCATTAAAAAAAAAAAGGAAATGTTTGGTACTAAGTAATAATGGAGACAGGTATTTATTATACACCAGGTCCTGTGCTAAGACCTTTAAATACACGATCTAAGATGCAACACTTCTATGAGGAAAATATTAATATACCCACACGATCAAGTAGGAAACAGAGGCTCCTAGGGATTATGAAATTTACACTGGGTAAGATAACTGCTAAGTGGCAGGGCTTATAATTTCAAAATTGGTGCACGCATTAACTTTGCTCTACATTGGCATCCTAAAATTAGTTTGGAAATTCCCTCAACCACCTACAAGAACCCCTGAGGATCTGGGGACCCAAACTGGGAATCCCCATACTGGATCATGACCAAAATAAAGGAGGACACGTCTTACCATGACTGAGAAACAGCTGCAAAAAACCAATACATAAACTCTACAGAAAATGGTTAACTAGGAAGGAGTTGATGACCAGGGGCAGAAAGAATACAGAAACGGCTTTTAAAAATAAGTATTAAAGAATATATGTATTTACACATAGCTGGGGGAGGGAAAGTCCTTGTAATAGTAATAACTACTGTTTATTTAGTGCTTACTGGTCAGCCACATTGCCAGCTTTCCTATTACAATAGCTCCCATACTATTGTTCTGCTTTTACAGCTGATGAACAAAAGCTGTAAGAGGTAAATAACTTGCTCACAACCACTAAAAGTAGCAAGCCCTTGGTAAGGGCAGTGAAATGAACACAGGCTGGGACCGGTTGCAGTTGCCCTATGGGGAAATGGAGGGACTGTTAACAGGTGGGCACCATGGCCTTCCTACCAGACTAAGCAAGGAGGCATCAGCCCAGATAGTAATGTCTCACTCTCGACCTGTGTATTAAGTCTGCATTCCAAAGAAAAATCCTGCGGATCACGAGGTCAAGAGTTTGAGACCAGCCTGGCCAACATGGAGAAACCTCACGTCTACCAGAAATACAAAAACTAGCTGGGTGTGCACCTGTAATCGCAGCTACTTGGGAGGCTGAGGCAGGAGAATCTGGAAGGCAGAGGTTGCAGTGAACCGAGATTGTGCCATTGCACTCCAGCCTGGGCGACAAGAGCAAGACTCCGTCTAAAAAAAAAAGAAAAAAAAAAAGAAAAATCCTGCCCAGAGCAAGTGAATTTTTGACTAGCTGTCCTTTATATTATCCACAGTGCTTCTCTCCTGCATTTTCACAGATAATCAGAGTTTTTCTGTAAGCCGACAAAGTTCATGTGCTCAAGCTGTTTAAAGACATTTTTTTCTGCACATTTTCCATACAGTTTTCCTACAGCCCAGAATGTCTTTTCCACAGCTTCTCTATGAAGTGAGGAATTCAACTCATCCTTCAAGGCCCAGTTCAAAGTTTACTTCCATTATGATATCTTTCAACCCTCATGCAGCCCAGAAAAAAAAAAAAAAAATCACTTGCTCGGTGCTCCCATTGTACAGAATTATATAACATGTTATTTAAGACTATCTCACGGTTTACTAATTTTTAGTTTGTGAAGCCTTTTCATTTTTGTCAATTGATCAGGACAAGAGAGAGATTCAAAATCCCTTTTCTTTCTTTCTTTTTTTTTTTTTTT